TTATATGAATCTAACAAAAACTCAATTTTTGAAAAATTGTAAAAATGGGCCCTTTTAATTGAAGACACCCCATATATCTCCCGCGAGAGATGCCTAGAAGCACCCTTCTTTTATACACCATCTAAATCTGATAGTCAAATGACAAAAATAGATATATAAATAATTTAGGCGAGCGGTTAAAAACGAAAATGAGAATGATTTCAAAAATTAATGATTGTTCATATGCAATGTAAACTCTATTTTCGTTTAAATGATTATTATTTTGTAAATAAGCTAATAAATTTAAATAAATTGTATAGAATTTTTTTTTTTTTTAAAAACAAAAAAATCATGTAGATAACAGATAAAGGCGATAGTTTGTATATCCGGAAATATCGCTTCGAATTTATCTATACTTAGCCTCATGAAGCCACCGTATGTTCGGAAATCACTTCCGGTTGGCACATACAGGAATTGCCCAAGAGACACATGATAATTCTAAGTAAGTATCTGCTCAAAGCGCACCGCAAATTGCGCGACGCCAAACCTTATTTACGTATTATAGAATATCAAAAGAAGAAATAAGATTCAATCTGGAAAATTCTATGTATATGCAGGAAAAAAACAAAAGAAAACCATGTTCCCGTTAAAAATTTTAGCCACATTAAGTCCGGAACCACCATATTTGAATTCTGCTTAGTATTTTTTTAGTAATAAGTTTGGCGTATAATTGATTATGATGACAGTCCAGACTGAACCATAAAAACACAATATATACTAAATTTAGACCAATTTCGAGTTAAAAGCATACTTTTAACACCTAATTTGAACTTAAGCAAGCCAGCTAGAAACATATCGAATACATGATATTTTTTTATCAATCTAGATTTTTAGATTCAATCACATACTGTGGCGTCTTTTAAATTTTAATTAGAACAATGTCTGCCTTGATGTATGTTCTAATATTCCGGAGTATCATAATTCATTATACATATGCATTACTATTTTGCTTTGTTTTAGCTAACTGTTGGAAATTAGGTATCGATTATCGATATAAGATATAAACGCACATCGGTATATACGAAAAATTTTTGATAGTTTTGTGTAACTCGTAATTGTTTTAAAAACAAGTAATGATTTACTTATGCTACCATAGGATCGAATCCACCTAGCTCCACGTCGACAGTTGGTCAAAAGTTTTAAGTTTTTCCGGAAAGGCAATCCAAACTATGCTGCATGACGGGATCATGCTGTTTGTTTTCCGTTTAGCCAAAGGTACCATGAATTAATATGTATTAGGTCTTGGTTGCACGAATTGTAGGAACATGGCCGCAGTCCGGATAAATTGAATTCAACTAGTTTATGAATGAAAATTTTTCTTATTTAAAAGACAATTCCTCCTTGATCTTAGAGTCTTCAATCAACAATAATGACTTCGATACAGTTTCAAATTCAATTTGTTCCTAACATTACACACTCTTTTTGTGAGGAATTATTAAGTTTGGATCCTCCATTTGAATTATCATTAAGTATAAATGAGCTAATTTCATCCTCACCTAAAAGTAGACCATTATCTAAACATCTTAAAGATCGCGACCTGCATAAACCACCTAGACCGTGCAATCCTTTCATATTATATCGAAGAAATTTTCAAGCAAGTTTAACATCGACAAATTTTCAAGCAGGTTTAACACCGACAAATGATATCAGCATTGCATCGATTCAAGCCGTTCAGAGTTGGGAACAAGAACCTGCCTATACGCATTATTATTTCTATATTATGTCAAAGGCAGCACAAGAAGTACATAGCAAAAGGTTTGAAAATTATCAATATCGCCCTCAAAAAAAGGATAATTCAAGAATATCAAGATCGAATAATAATACCAAAAATAATTCGAACCATGACTTGCCTCTCGATGGAAGTTCCCCAGCATTCTGTTCTACAGAATATCATAATAACCCGATGGATGAAGAAGATGCAATTGCTTACAAAATGTTTTTGCAATATACCATGTCAACCGATTTCGTCCAATCTAAATGACGCACTTCATTAGACATATGAAATTATATATAATTGACGCAACTTGTATTCGTAACATTAAGTTTCCAATCTTTTTTTAAAAAAATTCCGTTTACGTTTTAAGTCTTTTCTTAAAAATTCCGTTTACGTTTCAAGTCTTTGCTTAAAACTCCGTTTACATTTCTTGTTTCTTAAATATTTCGTTTACATCGTTAATATATTTCGTTTACATCGTCGTTTACATCGTCAATATATTTCGTTTATACCGTCAATATATTTCGTTTACATCGCTAATATATCCCTTTAAAATATAAATTTGTATGACCATTAAGCTTAATTATGTTATTTACTATGAGACATGTAATTTTTGCAAAAGTTATAATGTATTATGCGCCGGAAAAAAAAAAAAAAAAAAAAAAAAAAAAAAAAAAAAGAAAAAAAAAAAAAAGAAAAAAAAAAAAAAAAAAAAAGGAAAAAAAAAGAAAAAAGGAAAAGAAAGAAATGAATTTATCGATATTGTGATGTTTCAATAAAATAAAGAATAACGAGTTTTTCAAAAGAATTTGCAAATATTGCTGCGGTATGTTTTATTGTGGCGTCATTTTTACTGTTACGTCCAAACATGGCAGAACTATTTTGGTCATCATCTAGAAAAATCACTGTTCGGCACTTGCTTTCGAAAAAGATTTTCTTGTCCACCCATTTGTCGGATCGCGTGATGAGCAGTGATGTAAATTGGATTCGCGCGGTATGCGCAGCGTACATAGATTTAAATTTGCGCATATATCAGCGCTCTCTGTATATATAAAGCGCGTATAAATTTCTTTTTTTGCATATTTTTTTTTGCGTTTGCAATAAAAATTTTTTTTGAATTTATAACACTGGTGATGAGTAACCTTTAAACGGTTCATCGACAGTTATTTCACCGACTTTTATTTAATTCTAAACTTTAAATCAGGTTAACCCTTAATATAAATCGGGCCAACCTTAATTGTCAGGAAAAGAGACCCATCGTTTTTAAATACCGATTCTAAGGTCGCTACATGAACCTAACATAACTACCACGATTAGTTACGTACGGAGTTTCAAATAATATGACTGATACGATTTTCTTTTGATAATTATTAATCTGAAAAAAAAAGAAAACTGATTGTTTTATGTACCCATGTATTAAAACGTTTATTCTGTACATCAAAAACCAACCAATTTGTTTGAAGCTAATAAAAGGACCTGCACTAAACGCTTAAATCGAATAAATGAAAGCAAAAAAGAAAACGCCAGTCTAATAAATTTCACTGTCACGTAATAAATACACTGTTGATCATAAATAATGCAGCAAAAAAAATTGTTAGATCATATTATCTCGCACAATTTGGGACGGATTTTCTTTTTTTTTTTTTAAAAAAAAAAATCACAAATAGTATCAGTTTCACAAATAAAATTTTTTAAAAGAATTAATGAACTAAATTTTTTAGGGGCATGAGCTTTATTTCAATTCATGTGCTGTATTATTTTTGCTCATTTTTACAACAGCACAACTGTAAAATAAAAAAAATTTTTTATATTAAAAAAAAATTTTTTCTATTTAATTTTTTCCTTCTTTTATCATCTAGTATAACATTCTTAGGCTTTAATTACATCACAAATTTGTTCTGGCATTGAACAAATCAGATTTATGCAGATTTTGATATTGATTTCCTTCTAGACCACCTAAATTTTTTTTCAAAGGTTTTTTTCACTTGAAATATTACCAGAGTTTCCTAAGGTGATAGTCGATTTTAGCCCACAAGTGTTCAATAAAATTGAGGTTAGAGACAAGGAGTCAATCAAAGGTCTTTATTTTATTTCTTTTAAACAAATATTTAGTCAAGATTGCAGTATAGTAGATAGTACCATCTTGCTAGAAAATGATATCTCTAATATTAAATCTGTGATTTTTGACTGTTTTCATTAAATTCTCAAAGTATCTGCTGATATAACTCATTATTCATTGTGTCATTGATTTTACAAAAACCTTTAACATTATAAGAAATAAAGCAACCTCAAATCATAACTAAATCACCTCTATATTTCATTTTTGGTTAAACATAGAACTGGTTTAACAGCTTATCAGGACATTTCTAATAATACTGATTATCATCTAATCTAAAAATTTGAAATCTTGATTTATTGAATCAGATTACTTTAAATCAATCTTTGACAGATCAATTTTCATATGTTTTTTGCAAATTTGAGCCACACTTTTTGATAACTAATACTTAGAAAGAACTTTTTTTTTGATACCTAATATCAAATTATGTTTTTAAAAGTATATATCAAATAATAGAAGTTGAAATTTTAAGATTTTCTTTTTCTTTCAAGTAGAAAACCACTTGTATAGTAGCAAAGTAATAACAGAAAATAATCAAATTTACAATCTTTCTTTAGGTTAGTTCATTCACTAAAGGTAGATGACTAATTCTTCCTAAATCTTCAAGTATGTAGTTTACTAACTATCTTTTTTTAATACAAAAGATAGTAGAGAAGCTAATACAACAAGCTTGGCTTTTAGCCCTTGTGATATATTTTTTTTGTAACAAAAGTAATATTTAAGCTTTTTAGGTAGGAGCTGTATATTTTTTTTTTGCAGTTTGATTATTAATTAATTTTAATATTACACAAGATATAAAACAATAAAGAAAATTTTATTTTATATATGTTTACATTGTATAGGAAATGCCATTAAATTTTTATCAAAAATGAGCAAAAATAATTGGCCAGAGCGAAGCGACGGACTCATACTTCTACGCCCTGTGATAATCAAAACTACGTTTTTGATGCATTTATAAAAAAAAATCAAAAACATAGTTGTGGCATTTTCCGTCTGTAACACTATATATCCATATTTGTATATTCATGTAACAATAATACTATTTTACGCATTTGTCATGTATTATGCAGCCAATCAAATCTATCATAGTAAAAATTAAACTTCAACTCGGGCTTCTATGCTTATTCCATCTCTCATAATATATAGCCGCTGGCTCGTCTATAACCGTTTATTTCATTTATTTTGCTTCAAGGAGTATGATTAGTTAAATTATCTAAGGCACTCTTATTGATATTTTGTTGTTTCTCAATATCTAGTTTTTATCCGACTTTTTATTATATAAAAAAACACTATTTATAATGCTATATACTTTTTACAAATAAGACTTTAAGTATCTTGAGTGTCTCAGTGAATTACTCTTAAAGCTAGAAAAAGTCATAAATATATG